ACCACCAGCTGGATTCTAAGTTACGCATCTCCATAAAAGTCTATACCCCCACACCTTGCAACCTGTCACCAGTTCACCAACGTCTCTATTTAGTCCCAGTGTTTTCCTAGATTACCCACAATTAGATTCACCACCAAGCCTCCACACAGGAGGTCATTTTCGTCAATTTAGATTTCGCCAAATTCGAACTGTAACTAAGCTGTAATGGAAAGGACCATTCAAAAGATTTAAACCCATAACTTTAAGTCGTTAAATCCAATACAACGCTCTCGCATGCGCGTGCCAACATTTATAAGCCATAGGTGAAACAACACAAACGCGTGTTGAGCGCGTGAAATTACCATCTGCACTTTTTGGATAAAAACGCGTAATAGTACCGTTGTCACACACTCTCTTTCAATCGCGAAATAATGGCGATGCTTTGACTATAGAGAGAGACAGCTTCATGTTATGTTTCTTTCTAAGCAAGTTCGACAACTGCACACTTGAAAATTAAAATATTGTATAACACTGACTCAACTCGTCTCATCTTCCTTATCTACATTTTCTCTCTCTAGACATCCTCTGTCTTGGTTTGGAAATGGCTTCCATGGCATCAACCCATTTTAGTGTAACCCTTTTCTTGCTAGTCTCTCTTTTCAACATTTCATTTGCTGCGAGAAAACTCAGTGAGTTGGTCCAAGACCAGACTCAGCTCCTGAAATACCACAAAGGCCCTCTTCTTTATGGTAAAATCTCAGTCAACCTCATCTGGTATGGCAAGTTCAAGCCTTCCCAAAAAGCCATTGTCTCCGATTTCATCACCTCACTGTCATCCTCATCGCCACAAAGCCAACCATCAGTTGCCAAGTGGTGGAAGACCACCGAGAAATACTACCACCTGGCTGATTCTAAGAAACCCTCCTCGCTCTCACTCTCTCTCTCTCTGGGTAAACAAGTGGTCGACGAGAGCTACTCTCTAGGGAAGTCACTCACACAGAAACAGATCATACACTTGGCATACAAGGGTGATCAGAGGAATGCGATCAACGTTGTGTTGACTGCGTCTGATGTCACCGTTGATGGGTTTTGTTCAAGCAGGTGTGGGACCCATGGGTCTGCGAAGAGCACAACTGCCCAGGTTAAGGGCAAGAATTACAAGTTTGCCTACATCTGGGTTGGTAACTCGGAGACTCAGTGCCCGGGACAATGCGCTTGGCCTTTCCACCAACCCATTTACGGACCACAGAGCCCACCCTTGGTTGCACCCAACAACGATGTGGGTATGGACGGGATAGTCATAAACCTGGCTAGCCTATTGGCTGGGACGGCGACGAACCCATTTGGAAATGGCTACTACCAGGGCTCAGCGGGTGCACCGCTAGAGGCTGCGTCGGCTTGTCCTGGGGTCTATGCGAAAGGGGCCTACCCGGGCTATGCTGGAGACTTGTTGGTGGACCCAACGACTGGTGCGAGCTACAATGCGCATGGTGCGAATGGGAGGAAGTACTTGGTTCCTGCTTTGTATGATCCTTCAACGTCGTCGTGTTCGACTCTTGTCTGAAGCGTGTGGCAGAAGTAGCTAGCTAGTGGCTGGATGAACTTATAGAGAAAATTCAATTCATTCATTCATTCATTTGTTCTATCAAACCAGATGGCCTAATTACAACAATTAATGTTAAACTTTAAATATATATATTTTTCGGAAACATGTGCATATGTATGGTTGGATGGTCTTGGCACAACACTTCAATGGAAATGGAAGTGTTGATCTTGTTTAGCGTTGTCCATATTTCATGCTAACAACTCATATCATTGATTGTTAGGATTGTCTGAAGTTCCAAAACCAAAAATACAAAGCAAGGCTTGTGCTACCTACAAAGTGATTAGCCTGGCCTAACATGTTTTGAAATTTTCTTAATTTAATAAACTTATGAGTTTCTCCCTCTAGGAATTTCTGACGACTCTCCCATGGTGATCAAATGTGGAACCACAAATCCCAAAAGAAATGCGCTATTTAAAATTTTCAATTTCATTGGTGACCACAAAGACTTTATTGCCATAGTTGCTATGGTGTGGGGAATTAATAGAGATACCAGGTACTACCATGTTCCAGGTTACTAGGAAACTTAAACTTAATCTGAAACAGGAAAGATTTTTTTGGTAAAAATATAAGAAAAAACAAATTTCTTTGGTTTGATAAAATAAGACAAGGAGAAAAGAGAAAACATGATGGATGACAGGATGAGTCATCCTTCATTCTTTTTTTCATGCATCCCTTCAAATATAAATGGAAGGAAGAGAAGCAACACTGTTATGGGAACTTTAAATTATAATACTACCCTTCATAATTATTAGATAAATTCAGAATTAGCTATCATTCTCCTCCCTTCTTCTTAACAAACAAAGTAATGTATTACCTATTTCCCTTATTTTCCATCCAACCAAACAAAAAGAAGGAAGTACATTATCATTTTCCTATGTTGTCTCTCATTCATCCCTTTTTCTCTTCTTTCTATACAAATTACCTCCAGTACTAACAAAAGTCATCATTTTAAACTTACCACCCTTGAGTTTCATTTTATAAAATGTCGCTCATTATCCAATGAGAGATATGGGCTAAACGATGTGAAAGTGATGCACAATGAAAGACTCAAGATGTCAATATTTGAAGAGGGGTAAAGCTTTTGTTGGTTCATCGATGGCAGATTTGTGCCGGTTGGAGATGATGCGCGTTTCTTGCGCGCAAACATGCGTACAGAATGCTCTTAAAACAATAGAAACAATAAGGTTAATTTTGTCATTTCAAAATCTAATTAACAAATCCCTCACTAAATGAGACAAAATGATGGCTTTTGTTAGTATTGAGTTGTTAATTTAAAAATTACATATATACTCTAGTTCCTCACAAAAATAGTTTTTCAAAGCTTAACTTAAATTCAACAAAAATTTCTCATATATAAATTTCATCTACCTATATAATTTTATCATAATCCTTTTAAACTAAATAAAAAGAAAGAAAAAAAAGGAAAAAAGTTAATGTTACTGTTCGGCTAGTAAAAAAGCTAGAAAGTTCCGCCTTCCACTCGGGTGGAAAGGGTCGTCAGGCGTGCCAGGAATTGCTGTCGTTTCAAAGTGAATATCCGAACAATTATCCAGTAGAAGATTGCAGGGATCAGACGACTGTACGAATGACTGAAATTACCACATTCGGAAGTTCTTTTTGCCTTAAAAAGGACTTATAGACTACTCTATGGCAAGTGGAAAGAAGTGCGGTATTGAAAGTGCAGGACTTTGAAGTAAGGTGCTAGAAGTAAGAAAGATAAGTGCATGATTTGAATTAAACATATTGAAGGTGCATTATATGAATGTGAAAAGACATGAAATGAAGTAATTGAAGTGTTGTTTAGTTGTGTGTGTTGAACAGGATTTTCAAACTAAGCCTAAGTGATTTTATTTATAGACTCTTCCCATGCAGTGGTTTGGTATGTGGCAGCCTTGGCAGCTTCCATTTGGCCAAATTTTAGACTGCCAAGTGCCCCATGATCTCTCGGCAGTTGTAACCATCTTCTTCAATCCTTTTCCTCCTCTTTGTTTCTTCTGAACATATCTTCAGCCATGTTTTCCACGATTTCAAGTTGTGAGTACTTCTTGCAATCAGTTTTCCATTAGGTCTCTTCAAAGGCTGACACGTGTCCCACGTTTCCTCTAACTTCTTCCTTTTGTAAAGCCTTTCTCTTGTTATACTTTTCTTTCATGGCATTATGATCCCAAAACTTTCGCGACTTCCTCATCGTAGATAATATATATATATATATATATATATATATATATATATATATCCATGAATACATTACCCACACGTCTTCTGACCATACTCTTTAGATTTTAGTAACCTTCCTTAATCAGACTTTCCCTTCTTGCTTGATGGCGTCGTAGTCTTTGAATTTCAGTAACTTCCTCACCGTGGAAATATTCCATATATATACATATGGAATCATAAATACATGATTTGCCCACATCCTTTGAATTTTTGTAACTTCCATCTTGAGACTTTCCTTCTAGGCTTTGGAGTTCATGGTGCCATGAACTCCTTGATTTTAGTAGCTTCCTCATCGTTGGTTTAATCTGACATATATATGTATATATATATACATATTTATTTAGGAAAAATAGATAAAATCCCCCGTCTTGTTAAATTTTAGCAACAGAAGTTGACTTGGCTTGACAATTTGCCTAAGTCTCTTATAAAGAAAGAAAGAATTTAGTCCCCATGTTCTCCTTTATAACAATTCCATAAAAGAATTGATTCACCATAGTCAGCACCGTGGAAAGTTTAGTAAAACTCACCATGTGTCGAGAGTCAATTGGTCGACCTTGTCTTGAGAAATTGCCTAAGGTTGCATCCATGCACTACAAGGAAAAAGGCTTGTAACGACATGCGAGTCATGTCGTTAAAGGGTTTTCACGACTTGCAGCCGCATAATCTGACTGAAGAAGCCGTAAAAAGTTTATATTATATATGATGAGCATTTAAAGTCATTAATGCCAGAATGTCGTGTCGTCAAATAACCAAATGACCGTTAATTTTTTAAAACTAACGACTCATGTAGTGAGTTGTTAATATGGAATTTTTAATGACTTGTGCTGCAAGTTGTTATACATGCCTTTTAATGACATGCTTTGATATATTATGTGCCAATTTAATGACATGACTAAAAAATTGTTAATGCATACCTTTAATATCTAGAACATCATGTCGTGTATTTGTCATTGACGTCATGCACTGGCATGTCATCAAAATCTTTTTAATTTTTTTGAAATTCCGTAGTCCATGACGTCAAAATCTTTTTTATTTTTTTATTTTTTGTAATTCCTTTCTTTATAATGGAAACATCGTGCATGTCTTGCGCCTGTTGATCAATATCACAAATTATGCCCACCTCAAATGTGAAAAAATAATCCACATATCATGTCACATGACCATATATAACAACATAATATGCATATATTAAAGAGAATAACCAAAATCCATTATATTACTTCTCATTAAACCAGAAACATGAATTCGAGTACCATGTCAATTATGAATGTCAAAAAATTTCCATCCATCTAATACAATAAAGGCAACAAGAAATAAAAAACTAAACCACTAAATTCAAATGAAACAATCACCAAAATAAGAACATAACCATCAAATTTGAACATATATTAGCCCCCACTCGTCCATACAAAATCTTAACGGCCAAAATGGATTCTCCAATCAAATCTGCCATAAAAAAATAAAAAAGAAGAAGAAGAAGATAAAAAGAAAACAAGTTATTAACCATACTATGCAGAAGTAGGTAAAAAGAAAAAGATGAATGAGAGGAAGCTAAAAATGGCGAGAAGGTTCAAACTCTTACCCCAAAAAAAAAAAAAAAATGATATCCATTTATAAATGTATCAATCAACACAGCTATATTAAAATAAAATAATTACCTTCGACACTAAGTTGTTGTAATGAACTTGGCAGGCCATGCAACCGTTTCTCCCTTAGCTTCTAAAATATTCCTTCGAGACTAAGTTTTCGTGCTCCATTCAAATATTCCTCGGAAACTCTACAATTTAAAATTCAAAATTTTATGTTCTAACAATGAATGCACAATGGATAAAAATTATATATAATTCTTTATTTAAAGTTAAACCTGTCAGGAATGTACACTCAGCCTTTATCCATTATTTGTTGCTTGATTGATAGATATGTTCAAACTTTTATAAAACCTGTCGTCAATTTTCATTGCTAACATTAGGAACTATATACTAAACCATTACTTTAATTGAAAATAGGCAAACAATTCCAATAAATTTAAATTTCAGTGTAGTTACGAAGGAAAGAGAACATTAGGAGTTCTATCAAACTAATACTTTAATTGAAAATAGGTAAACAATTCCCACAAATTTTAATTTTAATTAATGCATCAATAAATTAATTAATTACATTAATGAGATTTACAAAAGAGAACCACCAACTAAAACACTCAAAAAACCATGAGAAGTGCGTAGACATTACAACTTTAGAACAAACATTCACCTTAACTTGAAGCTTTCTTTGTCTTCCAATAATGAACAAATCCATTTTAGAAGCTAAAATCACTCCAATCCTATCCAAAAACCTGCAAATAAATTCATAACATTTTATGTAATAACTAAATTTAAAAAATTTCAATCCTAGAAAAACAATATTTGTAGGTAAATTGGAGAATGACTTCTCCATATTCTAATTATTTATGACCCTATACTAATGAGCAGACATACCACATCCTATTATATAATGAGAATCTATCCCAGAATTATAATTTATTTCAATCAGGCCTTATCATGAAAAATCATTCCTGAACACACAAATATGTTGCATCCCACATCTAAAAGGATTTAGACAAAAAAAAAATATTATACTAAAACCTTTAAAATAACACACACACATGTGCACGCATAAATATAGCATTTAAATGGAGCCTCAAAATCATTGAATCCTTTGAACCAGAAATTATAAAAAAGTAATCCAGTTGAAAAGGAAATAAAAAAATTACCTCCTTCGATTCTACAAGATCTCATCTAATTGAACACGTATCTGTTATTAGTTAAAAGAATACTGATTTTGCTGTACCAAAACCAGGGGGGCAGCAGAACCAATGAATACCATATGGCACTCTCCTTCGTGTCAGATATATATAAATAATGGTTTAGTATTTTACAATAAACTAAAACAAAAGATATATTCCATATATAATGACATCTTCTACCCTTACTCATTATCCCAACACATTCATTCTTTTAGGTAAAAAAATCTATTTACAGAAAATGACTAAGTCACAGGATCCCTCCACAAGAAGGCATCTGAATTCGTTGATACAGTCCACTTCTTTCATTCATATATTATGAAAAAAAGAAAAAGAAAAAATGAAAGTGAAGTGTTTCAGACATTTTAAGTATATATCAATATATTCATCTTGAATAATTCCATCTTTTTTCAAATGGCCAAAATAAAAGCATTCCTAGTAATACCATTAATGCAGGACCAGCAAGCCTATAAATCACGAGTAGAAGATCAACCTCGTGACTTTTATTTACATTATATAATGCAAGAATTAGGATTACTATAATTTGTACCACTTGAAAATTATGCCTTTTACACATATAAACTAGTTACAATGTATCATTCCTCCTGAGCTGAGATTGGACTTTCTGGTTCACTAATATTCACTTCATTTCTTTGCATATGCAGTTACTGAAAGAGAATTAATTACAGCAAACTATTCCCACTTTCAAGATTGGCGAAAAATTATTGAAATCACCGTAGAATTATTGAGAAGCAATTACTAAGACATGGAATTTAAGGACAAGTCTTAAAAGAGCATTAATACAAGGGATTTTTTTATATGAACAACAATGTAAAAGGGTTAAGGAAGTCCCCTATATAAGGGAGAGAAAGGCCAACAAACAAGAAATTCCAAGAGGAAAAAATGAACCATATGCCCAAAAATATAAACCTCAACTGTAACACCAATTATATCGATCAATTAATTTACATGAATAAAACAATAAAAAAACAAAACAAAAGAAGCTCACTCTGTCCCTCAAAACTTTTATTTTTCACATTCATATTGCAATGGTAGTATGAAATAAAGGAAAGAATTTTTGATCTTTCAGTATAGCAGTTGGCAATTGTTCGAACCCCACAAAAGCACATTGATTGCATCACAATTTTTTCTTACAAAGAAAAAACTACAGTATTTTATATGATCATGTACGCAACCTGACATTTCACCCATGTGTCTTACAAGTCTCCAAATATATTATAAGAGAAGTGTTATGGACGTTATATCTCACTGTATACACCATGATAAAATCCGTAAATTAGGAGGTTCTTTTAGTATCATATTGGACTATTTCACACGAGTTAATTGCAGAAACAAGAAGTATTAAGAATGCATCAACAAATCATAAAGTTGTCCTATACACCCTAGTTGCAAATCCATTGTACAACAAATTAGGCTCCTTACAAACCTATGCAGAACAAAAATAAATAAACATTTCGATATTCAAGCATCAAAAGAAAAGGATAAAAACACTCCCATTTTCTACAGTGAACATTATTAGCTAATGAAGATTGTTTGACACTTTGAGCTTAAACCAACAGCACGAAATTCCTCAAAACATACAATACTGGTTTTATCTATATAAAATTAGCAAGCAATGGCCCCAAGAAATGGTAAGTAGCTTAAATAAGTGCTTTGCTGCAACGAGAGGGGGGATTCAAAAAACAAAAAAGAATGGTAAAAGTATTTCTTTCCAGCATTTTCTAAATTCCAGTCAAAGCAATCTAGAATTTACTCACCCTAAATTGCTCCAATCAGTGGATGAGAGAAATTTAATCCAATAGAAGTGAAAAACTGTAGGAGTAATAATTTCGCTTGTGGATGAGAGATTGATGTTCATGAATTACTGATTAATTATCATGATTTCAATGGAAATCTCAAAAGATAAGATCTGTTGGATAAAATTGAAAATCAAATTTCAAAGGCAAAATAAAAAATTGAAATAGAAATTAGGGTAAATGAGATTAGAATTTACCTGCTATACGAGATGATCACAGGAGTTCTTTATGGACTGAAATTGTGCTAAAAGATTCGCCATCATCGATCAAATGAAACCATATACAGATTTGTGAAGTACGGACCGAATAGTATAGATCCAAACAACAAAAGAAAGAAAATCAGTTGTTAAGTAGTAGAAGTGTAAACCTAGAGAGAGGGGGGAAGAGAAAGCAGACCTTTGTTACTCATGTAAGACCATTATTTTGCCGAAACTTAGCGTACTCTCAATCGTCATATCCTGATCTCACTATCTTGGCAGCACTAACGAGAGGGGTGTATGGCTCTAAGCGTCTGATACGCTTTTTCTCTTCCCGAATCGCCTTGCCTCAGATAAATGGGAGGGTTTACACACAATAAGAAGATGGAAACGATTTAATTGGGTGGAAGATTTAGGTGTTAAGATCCCATATTAGTCGGCATAAGGCGGGAAATTTTATTTTTCCATAAGTCCATTGTACGAGGGAAATAAAAATTTTAGCCCGATGTCACGACATAACAAATAAGTCATTAAAATAAATAATGCAAGTCATTACAACAAATTTGAATAGGCAAATAAGTGTAAACTATTTTTCCATAAGTCAATTGTGCAAGGGAAATAAAATTTTGGCCCGATATACATGACTTAACAAATAAGACATTAAAATAAATAATGCAGGTAATTCAAAAAAAAAAATTGAAAGAGCAAATAAGTGTAAGTCGTGAATATGATTGCGTTTTAACATTTAACCACAAGCTCTAGATTATAAGCCTTAAATTAGTACTAACCCGACTTACCTTTTATGGAAGTCGTCAATTACAAATCGTAAAAATTCAATTTTCTTGTAGTGACGATAATATTTCCATGTCATAATTCATTTTTCCAAATAGGAAAAAAATGTGAACCCTTGCTTTAAAGATGGCAAGTCCTAATTGGACTTGCCTCTTCCCTTTTAAAAATAAAAAACTCCATGTGGTGGGATTTAATTGGTCCACCTATTCCTAACTTTCATATGAGATCACGTAATTTTAATACTTTGTATAGAATTCTTCTAGAGTTGCGATCCGGCGTGGCCAGTTCCATTGGAACTCGCCATATACCTCTTCTTTATTGGTAGATTGTGTCCAATTTATCGTCAACAATTCCACATCATATGCTCCTCTTTTGGATATTTAAAGCACCAATCTAACGTAACAAACTCATTGGAACTCGCCACATGTTGCCTTTCCATTGGGCCAAAAATAATGGAGTAAACATATGCCCTCTAAATTCCATGTCATGTGGAACAATTGATGACAAGACATGGGATTTTAATTTCGCCATCATAACCCACTTAAATTTTCAAGACAATCATTAGGCCTAGTAAAGTTTCCATCACCTTATGCGGCTGACTCCTTGGTACCTTCCACGTCGATTTTCTTCTGCCGCCAAATTCAAAGTGTCATATATCCCAAAAAAGTCTTCTCCAATTATGTTCACAACCATTAACCTTATTACTTCATTCTTTAAATTTTGAACTTTCCAAACAACCCCCTTAAAAATCGTCCTTGGATTGGACACTTGAAGTAATCATTAAAGGAAGAGTTTCTACAGAACACGCGGCTGGCTCCTTGATTTCCTCTATGTCAATCTTCATCTGCCGCCAAATTCAAAAACAATCCGTATCTCAATAGAAGTCTTGTCCATTTATGGCTAAAAACCATTAGACTTTCTAAGCCTAATTACTTCCCTTTTGAATTTTGAACTTTCCACCCACCAACCTTAAAAGCTGTCTCTCTTTCCTTATTCCTTCATTGCCTATATATATGTGTGTGTGTGTGCATATATATCTTATATCCTTATCATCTTACGCACAAAGACTCTCTCTCTTTTCCTCTTTCTTCTCCTCCAACCAAACCCTAAAGTAATAAACCCTAATTTTGCAGAAGTCACGAGCCATGGCTCAAGCCAAAGTCAAGAAACCTCCAAAATAGACCACTAGTTCCTCTTTTCCAACCCCCTCAGTTCAACCCAAGGCTAAAACCAGAAGCCATAGCTTCCACGTTCAATTACTTTTGAAGTCCTTAAACCCTGCTAGACTTCATCTCGAGCTTCTAGTTGACTATGAAGATTCTTCAGTTGGACTTAGTCCATCCTTCGTTAATGTAGCTCTTTCTGAGTTAGCCAAGTTTTACCCTTCCGGTAAGACACCTTTTCCCTTTGATTCAGAGTTTCCTCTTGTTTCAAAGAAAGGGAAAAAAGTAAAGCCTTCCTTAAGTATCAAAAATTGGCCAACATACCGTTCCTCATGGACCTCATGGGTGATTTCCAAAGATGAGAAAATTTCCTCATAATCGAAAAAATAATGCATATATAACATTATTCAGATTAACAAGGCTCCAATTACCTTTGATCCAAACCTCCTCTTTCCAGCCATCTTCTTCTACTCTTCGATCACCAATGCCCTTCATCTCAAATGTGGAATGATGTCTCCCACCTTGAGGGATATTTGTTGTATTACTGGTTCAAAAACCCCATGGAGATGATGTTAGTGCTACTCTCATCTTTGATCAATTCCTTTTCCCCACCAAAACAACTGGCAGCAAGAAGTTCATCTCTTCCCATCTCCCTTTCATCAAGCACTGCAAGAAAACCGGACTCGTCCAAAAGGATGAATATATTGCTTTCCTGATCTATTGGCTTTTCTGGCCATTTGTTGTGTGTTCCATCCGGCCAAGTCACCAAAGACTTTGTTCAAGTTACAATTTCCTTAGCCAAAAATGGAGATTTGGCACTGGCTCCACTTGTACTTTCTCATCTGTACAGAGGTCGCAAGAAAATCGGACCCGTCCAAAAGGATGAACATATTGTTTTCCCAATCTGTTGGCTTTCTGGTCATTTGTTATGTGTTCCATCTGGCCAAGTCACTAAAGAATTTGTTCAAGTTGCAATTTCCTAAGCCAAAAATGGAGATTTAGCACTAGCTCCACTTGTACTTTCTCATCTGTATAGAGGTTTGAATGACCTCCTTGCTTTCAGATTTTCAAGATTTTAAGGCCCCTTCTAGTTATTCCCGATGTGGCTTAAGGTATACTTTTAAGACATAACTTCTCCACTTGCCATGCAGACAGGAAAATCCCTTCTATGCTACCCTTTAGCAACAACAGCTCCTTCCACTTTCAGCTTTGTTGAAAACTTTGAATATTTCTACAATCAATGTGAAACTGGAGATGATAAATTCTTTGATCCATTCACCTTCCTTGGCCACATGCCATCATGGTTAGTTCTTTTTCCTGGAGTTTTCACCAAAAAGAACTCTGAAGATGGGAAAAACATTTGAGTAAGCTTTTTACTTACTCGTGACCTTCATTATAGCATTACCCAGCCCACTCTAAGGAATAACTTTTATGGCGTGGAGTTCTACAATCTAGCCCAACTGGCTTGACAAATGGGGTTCACCCAACTTATTCCCTTGCCACCTTATAAATCTCATAACAGATTCTTTGATCAACTGGTGCAGCTCACAAATGTTGATAAATTTATAGCAATTGATAAAGCTTATGCAATAGATAGGGCAGTTTTCAACTTTTCAAGCCATACTAGTAAGCCTCAGTCTTCCAATGAATTTACGGTATGGTGGACAGCCTACATCTCTTCCACTCAAACAAAGAATCATAAGGCCGTTTGTGACACCATATTAACCTCATTTAAGCCCTTATCTCCAGGTATAAATACGTTTTGCTTCAAACTTTCCTTTTTTCTTGTACTGAAATCTGTCAACCTTCCATATTCTGAAAGTTGATCTGTTAAATTTCCAGATGGAGAAGAAAAAGTACCTAAGGAAAGTGATGAGTATGAAGGTGGAGATAAAATCACTGCCATACCTAGCAAGGTTGAGGGTGTGGCCGAAAGCGGTGATGTAAGTCATGAAGACATTTCTTCAAGCAATGATGAAGAAGAAGTTAAAGAAGAAGAAGATCTATTGGAAGAAGGAGAGGATGCTCTATACAAAACAAAGGGAAAAGAAAAGACTTCTTAGGTATTTTCAATATGGTTGGACTTAATTTTTCCAAGTTATGGATTTTTACTGATATTTCCTTCTTTGCAGGGACTAGTTATTGTGAAGAAAGAATTTCAGCCCCAACTTTCCTCTTCTGATGAAGATTCCCCTAATGATGATGGTATTTCCAAAGGACAACCTCCTACTCAGCACTCTAGCAAGACACTTACAAAGTGTAGCCCCTCTGGAAAGATTGCCGGAAAGGCAAAAAGGAAAATTAACTGGGAAAAAACAGAGGATTTCAAACAGCATAGAGACTTTCCAAAAGTAAAGAAATTAAAACCTTCTAAGGAGATTGTTTTGGTAAGTCTCTATCTCCATTTCTTTCCACCTTTTCATTTCGTGAAGTGTTTATAATTTCCTTTTGAACTTGATCATTAGGGCTCTCCATGGGACATAATCTTCTTAATATTCAATTGGATCTACAAGCTACTCAAGGAGAGGATCTAGCCCTTTAAGGTTCCATTATGGAAAGTCTGGTTGGCCAAAGTAGAAAAAGTCTGCCCATTCCAACTCCCACTATTGGAACATCTACTCCTTCCGGTATTGGTGGAACTTCTACAGGCCCTGCTCCTTCTATCCCAGAGGCAAGTCTTTATGCTTTTAAATTTTGCTTCCTTTCTTACTTTCTATCTAATAAATAAAGCTTTTCTTTCCTTTAGGCTACCCCTTCTTTGTCCACATCAACATCTTTCATGATGCATAGAGGAGCTCTTCCAGCATTGGCTGATATATATAAGGTGATCAAGGCTACTAATCTTCAAGCACTTCAACATCAAGTGCTAATGTACTCATGCTTCCAAATCCTTCAGAAGACCATATCATAAAGCCCAAAGGAAAATTGTTATCTTATCTTGCTCATGATGTGGAAAATGTTATAACTTTCCATTAGGGCTTGGCTAGCACTATAGTCACTCTCAAGAAGCATTCTGGATTTCTTGAATACATCCAAGCTTCTTAAAACAAATTGTAGCATCAACTTCAATTTCTTGTTTCTCATATAAGCTCCAGTTCTTTCTCCCTCTCAGAATATGAAAGAAAGGCTAAACTTAGGGACAAAGCTTTGAAAGCTTTCATCTTGCCTTAGAACCTTACCCAGAAATCAAGGTACGAGCTAAAAAACTTGCAGCCAAGAAAGAGAAGCTGACTGGAGAGCTAAACTGAATTCAAAAAGAACTGGAACAAGTGGAACGTGATGAGTTTGAGTTGGACCAGATAGCTAGTGCAATAATCAATGAGTCTGAGCCTCATAGGAAAGAATGCGAAAGCCTACTCAATGAATTTCCTCAACTTGAAAAGGCTAAGGCTAAAGCACTGGCTACCCTTGAAAAGGCTAGGAAGCTTTGGATGGAACTTAGAG